TCTGAGGAGGAGCAAATGGTTTGGCAACTGATGAAGCTTATAGTAGGGCACAAACTCTTCCTGCAGGTACATCTGTGCAATGTTGCAAAGCAAGAACAAAAGAATTACTAAGAAATAGATGGTTGTGATGCCAGATCAATGCAGAAGCTTACTCAGCAGCAAGGGCATTCAGAGGAAATACTAATCCACATTGTGCCTCATACTGTACTTGTCTAATGATGGTGGCAGTGAAAGCATAACTATCCAACCATCAATTTTTTTCTCAGTGTTTTCCTTGGACACTTTGGAGAGGGAAAAAAAAACAACTACCTTCTTTCAAGCATAAACCTCCAGTTTTCTTTTATGTATTGTCCACAATGTTTTTATTGGCATGTAGTGAAAATAAAATGTTGCATGGACATATTATATATATTAATCTTCAGTCTTTAAATATCTGTAGCTGCTGTTTTTTGGCTATTAAATTCTAGACAGTTCTTTTAATTCCTAACATAGAACCAATCTTGAAATTTTCCATGTATTTGATATGAACTGCTTTTCTTTATGAATTTATGAGCCATCTAGTAGAGTTAATTTTTGTCATTATCATAAGTTCTTGTAGCAGAATGTCTTTATCCATTAAAAAAATGTGGGGGAGAAGATGGATGTCTTCCTATTCATTTTGTCATGGATAGCAACGTCCACTCAGTTTAATGTAAATTTCTTCAGGAAGTACCGGTATTCTGTTTCTATGATATTTTCTTTGGAGTAAGCCTCATTTAAAATAACTAACTTGCAGTTACAGAAATTAAATAATAATTACACATGAAAATGCAAAAAGATTTATTATAATACTACTCTTTATATATACCTCAGCCCCAAAGTGGTTTTGAATTAGCTCAGTAAATGGCTGATCAGCAACTTCATGAGGCATTTTCAAATGAGGCATTATTCAAGTTATTATTTTGCCTCATTTAAAGAAAGTTAAATTTTCTTTCATCACTTTTTTTTGGGGCTTCTTATTCTTTTTGCATATATACACAATGTTGCATATGCACATACTGTTCAGGAGTATGAATGAGTTGCAAATTATAATTATATTTGCAGCACTAGGAGCTGTCCATCTGGAAGTGTCTACAGAAGTAAGTTTAGAATCAATTTCTTCACTTATTCAGCTATTTCTTGGTTTAATTATAGCAGTATTAAAAATGCAGTATTACCTTGTGGCTTCATTTTGGACATGAATAATTTCATATATTAATTCATTATGAAGCTCATTGATTTTTTAAAAAATGAATATCTTTTGAATTGTAGTTTGAAATAAATTAATGGACAAGAAAATTGATAGTGCACTTTCATAGTTATTAAAGGGTTGATGCTACATGGCCAAAAATATTATCAATTGTAACAACATGACAATCTCAATTCTCCTTTATTCACAAGGGTATTCTGTCTCTGAAAGATTTCCTTGAAGGACTACCAATAATTAGGTATTTGGACTGCATATACTCATTTATAGGCTTAATTTTTTATATTAATTGGATTGTTAATAAATTGCACGCGCGCGCGCACACACACACACACACACACACACACACTATATCTACATCTTCATCTATTTGTATCTATATTTACATATGGCTGCCAATTTCATAACTTTGAGTGGCTTAAAACATGTCTTCTAAATCTTAATTGTTTTCTTTTGACTTCAGCTAATTGGTGAAATGAAGTATAAGTCATGAAAAGAAGGTCAATTAATATTTAGTGACAAAAGCTTCAGCCTCCACTATTTAGCATTGAATCCCACTGAAATTTCTGCTGAAAGATTCCCCTCATTAGCACAGATTTCATCATTGCATATTACAATGTACTTTGTTTTTTTTTTAAAAATAAGAGACAGAGAGAACAAAGGCTTTTTTAATGTTGAAAATCACTGATCCCAGTTTGACAACTATGAATCACAACTGAACTTGGAAATTGCAGAAAAGAGGACTGGTGAGGAGAAAAGACAGACAGACAGACAGACAGACAGAGTTTATTATGGTCACAGACCAGAGTTGAAACACATTAAAAGTAAAATAAGAATGAAAACATAAAACAGGATAAGAATGTTACAATTGGTAACAGATTCACCAATGGTAACAGATTCATGAATCAGATTGTGTCTAATTTTACTGGCAATTTGGTTCATTCAAGAAAACTAAACCATGTTAATCTGACCATTATGTTAAAAAGATAAACATTTCCTGGGTGTTTTACCAGGTAAGGAGTTATAAGGTGGGTCCTAGGATCCTTATATACGGCACAATATAACAGGACATGTGCAACATAGTGAAAGGTAGTTTTATGAAAAGTGAAACTGCATTAAAGGTTATACCAAAAAAAATCTTCTATAGATTGCACTGTCTACTTATAGAAAGAACATTCGAAGTGAATCATGGTGCATTTAAGTTGATTGAGGTATTAGCCAATTATCTAGAAATACCATGAGATTTAGCAATAGGTTGGTTTCCAAGTTATTAGTGGGCTCCAAACAGTCTTTTGAGGCCAGGGCAAAGGGCTGCTTCCAGTATTATTTTTTAGATATGTTAATCCCTGAAAATACAAATGTATGAAAATTTGTGATGCCTTTGTAAAGATTTGTAAAAATGCACATCTTTCCCAGAAAACACATTTCCACTTTGCCTATATTATTAAGTACAAAACTGTGAACTTGGGACACAGTCCAGCTGAAAAGCTAATTCATGACAGTAAAATTGTAATCACACCTTTTAAATTAAATTTAAGTTTATTTTTCATTTTGACAAGAGTGTTACTATTGGTGCAAATATACGTATCACATCCATTTAATGCAGATGAGAAAGAAGTGATGAATTGTTTTTGGGAAATACCACTGGAATGTACACAAAGTAATACATCCTGTAATATATTTTTGATATTATAAATTTGTACTAAATCATTATTAAACTGACAGAAAATTAGTTTTTCATAAGACATAAGTCTTTTTATATATAGTTAATGTTAATGCTATTCATCACAAAGTATTCATCATCTTTTCAAGGAGTCAATTTTTAAAATTATTGTTATTTAAATTCTAAAACAGAAATTTGTAATTTAAATCTGGGCATGGAAGAGAAGTATATTTTTAAAGAAAAGCTTGTCTGTCTGTCTGTCTGTCTGTCTATCTATCTATCCTTCCATCCATCCATCCATCCATCCATCCATCCATCCATCCATCGATCCATCCATTTATCTAATTTAAGAACAGCCCATCTTCCTCACAAAGGAAAATTATATCTGGAAATAGTAATTGAAATGTTCAAAACAGATAAGTGGAGAATTATCTATATTCATAATTATCACAATTCTTTTACCCTGTAAGAAAAATATGTTTCAGGACTAGCTGAATGCATATATGCATTCAATAATATCACAGAACTTGTGATGTTTTGTCCACTATTCCATAATGAAACATAGGCAGTGGTGGTCCTTCAGATGTTGCTTAACTACCCTTCAAAACATCTCTGATTATTCAAAACATCTCTGATTATGCTGACTATGGATATTGACTATAGGTAGTCCTTGAATTACAACCATTCATTTAGCAACTGTTCAAAGTTACGACAGTGCTGAAAAAAATTACTTACAATTGGTCCTTGCACTTATGACTGGCCATATGATCAAAATTCAGGCAGTTGGCAACTGGCATGTATTTATGATGGTTGCAGCATCCCAGGGTCATGTGGTTGTCACCTGCAACCTTCCAGGGGGCTTCTAATATGCAAAGTCAATATGGAATCTGGATTTGCTTAACAACTATGTTATTCATTTAACAATGTCAGTGATTTGCTTAATGACCATGGCAAAAAGGGTAAGATGGAATGTAACATGCGTAATGACCATCTTGCTTAGCAATGGAAGTTCCAGCCCAATTGTGTTATAAATTGAAGACTAGCTGTGCAATTCTCTACCTCTGTTGTAGGAACTGATGTTCATTTTAACACAGTCATGTACAGTTGCTTTGTATAAACAAATCTTCAGGAAAATATTTTAATTCCAAGTAACTCTGGAATACATAACACTGTACTGCCATAGATAAAATCAGCAGAATGCTTCCTATCTAGTAGCTGACTAAATAAAATTAGCAGGGCATTTAGCAATGCCCTGCTAGTTAAGGAAATTTGTAACAAAATGAAAAATTTCCATCTTAAAATCTTTTGAAAAAGAACATAAATTATGGTTATAGAATTTTCCTTTGTGAAAATAATTTGACATGGGTTCTATAATCTCTTTAATAAGGTACCCAGCTATGTAAAATATTGATCAAAATAGCACAAAAGCAATGAGCTAAAAACAAAAACATTTATCCCATTTTTCCAATTATCCCACAGGCATATTACAAACTACTAACAAATATTGATAGAAATCGCTGATACATTTTATTACAGCTTTTAGAAGGCAATCATCCTTCTGAATAATACTTTTTAAAAATTATTGTCCCACCCCATTAAATCATATTATAGCCTCTAAAGCACCAATTAGGCTGTCATGTTCAAGTTTTATTATAAAACTAGAAACCAGATTTCCTGAAGCTAGAAGCCAGGACAATTGATTGATAGAGATTTTTGAGGATAATAGTACCAGAATTTCAATGCCATGTAATGGCTATAGTCCAGGACTATTTCCAAAACTTTACTGGGTTTATATATGTCTGCTAATTCACAGTAAAACTCCATTTGCAACTATTTCCTTACTTATATTAGCAAGAGAGGGGATCCAAGGACAGTTCTATTGTCATAATTTAGGATAAATTAGTCTATCGAATACCTAAAAACTTGATTTCCTTGAATTAATCTTAATAATAGTGTTTTTGATTGAGCGTGTGCAATCTGATCAGTGTTGAATTTTAGCATTCCTGTTTCTCAACCTGATCCTTTAGATTTTCCAATAGGGTACCCATCGCGGAATAATAATATTACTTTAGTTTTTGAATTATTGAGTTATGTTTTCAGAATTAGCAAGCATGTTTACTAATATTTAATGTCCAAGATATAAAAAGGCAGAGTGGTTTTAAACTGAGTTCAGTTCCTGGTAACTTTTGAATGGAGAATAGATATATTGCCATATCATGGAAGTGGTGTAGTGCTGTTTGTCTGATGAGAAGTTTATAGTCCTGAAATTCTTAGGTTATCTCTCTTCCAAATGCAGATCCTATGAAAAATAATTGTCATTAGTTAGCTTATTTATTAGATAAAATGATTTCAAGGAAGTAGGTTCAAATACTGTGAGGGAATGGGACTGCCAATGTTATATTAAGATTAATTTTAATTTTAAAGAACTAATTTGTGCATGTGTATGTGTGTGTGTGTGTGTGGCTTTGAGTCAGTGTTAACTCCTGACAATTGCCTGGACAATTCCCTTGCAGTTTTCTTAGTAAGATTTCAGAAGTGCCTTGCTCCTTCCTAAGGCTGAGAAAGTGTGATTGCCCAAAGTCACACAATTAGCTTCGTGGATAGTGAAGACAAGAACTCAGGGTCTCCTGATTTCTAGCCTAGTGCTTTATACCTGAGCCAAACTGGGTCTCTTAAAGTTCTTTTTAAGAATATTAGTTCTCTTAAAGAATTAATGCTCTTTGTGAAACTATAGCTTGTCCATGGCATAGGAATTTAAAAGAAAAAATAAATGGTGTACTTTTACATTTAATGAGAGATCTAAATAAGGGCACATGAATGTAAGCTTTAACTTAAGCCCAATGTGGAATGAGCCTTTTTGAATCCTGTATTGATAAAGAAATGTCATCCAGAAATGGTTACAGATGCCACTTCAGCTTCCATAATTTATATGAGATAAGAACATATAAGAGGATTTATATTAGAATAAGAAAGCTTTTATAGCCTCCCACTTTCCCCTGGAGTTAGAAGGTTTTCTTTTTGTATTTCAAAAATATTGATGGCTTTTTTTGAAGTGCTGGTTGGAACTAAATTGATGAAACTAATTTTGCCCTTTTAAATCATAACAGAATCCATAATCCATTCTCCCTATTTTGAGCTGAACCTTTAATGGTCTGTTTGGGTGCTAAACATTTTTAGAAGCAATTTCAAAACTAGAAATTGTATCATTTAGAGTTGTGATGCATCTCAGCATGCTACCATGATTCACATCCTGCCTGTGGCCATCAGTAAAATAAGTCATTGGGTCTCAGTTCAGTTCTCTGAAGCTATCAGTTTACAGCATGGGAACTGTAACATAAAAAGACATCCTCTGCAGAGGAAATGGGGAGGACTAAGCAAGCATGAAGACCTGAATTATCTTTGCAAGGTATGGCTTAGCCAATTCAAGAAGAAGGTCACCTCTAATGGCAAAGTTACAATACCATTTTGCTTGCTAATCAGTCCATCAAATACTAAATAGAATGTTCCATTCCTTTTGTTTCATCTAGCATGAATAGGAACTATTTTACTGAAACAAAGTTTTAAAAGTCATTCTCAAAGTTTTCTATTCACAAATAAAGCTATTTTCTTCTCAAAATAACTTACCAAAATACCGCTTCACAGTTGGCTGTGAAGATTCACTTGCTTGAGTTAGGTTCTGTATTTATGAGCAATTGACTTTGAGATCTGAACTGCCTGAGTATCTTGAAATCCAAGGGTCATATGCAATCCCCAAACCACAGTAGTCAGAGGGTGGGAGTGTCAGAAAAATCAAGATGCTGCTAATGTCATAAATTATTAAGCATGTGATTCAATCCATAAACAGGGCTGTTTTAAAAAGTCATGAACTAAAGATTCCCCCTCCCAAAAAAGTTTTATTGATAAGAACTGTTACTTTATTTTATCATTATAAAAAACTGTATATTTAGAATATCCATGATTGCTTTTAGTTAATATTACCCAGTTTGTTTTTTTGGTATACAGGAGCCCATACAAGAAGCGCCACATGGTGGCACTCTGGTTGTGTTCCAATTAATGGCTACTTCCTTTCAAAGACACACATTCCTGATGGTAGAAGCAAAGCAAAGTCATTGTCTCTGTAGAGCATCTGGAGGGCTCTTTGGGAAATGCTTATGTTTGTTTTCTTGGCCTCCCATCGTGCACCTTCTCCTTCAGCCTTCCAGGAAGCTAAAGTCATTTAGTTTGGTTGCCAGCATTGGCAGCTGCTAGTGCTGAAAGAGAGCCACAGCAGCACTTTCAGCACTAGTGCTTTTCCAATGTTGAACAACAGGCAATGGTCTTAATGCAGCTCAGAGCCCCTCTGCCTGCATTTCTTTTATCTCTCAACAAAGCTAGTCCTCTACCATGGACAGAGGAAGGCCTTCTGCTGCCCTTCTGATATTTGCAGTAATTGCGATTACTTCCAGTGGACTCCCACTGCTACATTAGGAACAGTAATTAGCTAAAGGACTTTTAAAAGCTGATGATCACCAGAGAGCTAGAGATAGAATGATCTTGACCTAAAGCTGAGTGACATTTAACTTCCTCCTTTAAGGATGGCTAGACAGTACAGGAATACAGTGGCCTTGTTATATCTCCAATCCCAGTTGAAGAAAAAGTGAAAGACAAAAGCTTATTGCCCACCAGTGGAAGAAGAAAAATAGATATACATTTTCCTTTAATTTTTTTGGTGTTCATACTGGACTACTGGTGATGATGAAGAGGTAAACAGGAAGCCGTGTCTATAACATTTGGGGCCAGTTTCCCTAAAAATTTACAGTAAATAAATAATTTATGTAGCCCACTTTAAAATATACAATTCACTGCAAACTGCACAGAATATAATTTATAGTAAATATTTTCATCTGTCCAAAATGTCAAGATGAATATTAAAATCCTAGAGAAGCAATCTGTACTTTGAGGGAGAAATTATTATTAAAATTTTGAAGGAAGATGTGTGAATCCCATCAAGATTTAGACCCATTTTGGGAATGTCCTCCCTCCAACCCCAACAATAGATGTCTTTGGGCTTATTGCCATAAAGCAGCAATCTGTTATTATCAACCATGTTCTTCTTGAAGCTCAGTGGTAAGTAATATGGGGGAAATAAACAGCTGGGCCAGAATGAGAATTATAAAATCTGCTATTAATACTTTTTTTTAGGATGGATGAATTCTGAAGGAGTAGAGATATAATCATCTCTGCTCCTTCAGAATTCATACATCCTAGAGATGTAAGCATCTCTATTCAGTGGGTAACAGATTTTAGACAAAAATTTGAATAACAACTGTGGCTGTATTTTCTTTTTGTCTTTGCTGTCTTTGTGGTCACCTGGATTTCTGCAGCCCAAATCTGATGGCCCTAGCAAAAACTGAGATTAAAAAACCCCCAACAACAATAGCAATGGCTCCCCCCCATTTTAAAGTACTACATATTATGCAGTCTAACAAACATCAAGTTTTGACTATAACATTAACCTGAACATCATACAACTTACATCTGCTACATAACTTTTGCCTCTATAACTTTAAAGTGACTTTTCACTAATAGAGAAAACGGTTAGTGAAGCCTTACTAAGTTTACAATCTTGGATGTTTTACTTGGGGAAGAATCTCCATATTCATTTTGGAACTCCAAAGTGAAATTTCATGGAAATAATTTGGAAGAAATGCTACTTCCTCCAGAAATATTCCTGATAAGCAGCCTTCAAATGGATTTTAACTATTATCTTCCACTGATTCTTAGTGAAGGAACCAGTGTGTCTTTATCAGAAGTTTGGCACAGAGAAATGTGTTAAGCAAAGATTTCCCTACCTTTATACTTTAATTATTGGGAAAAAAATCCTTTACCTCTAATTTTGTAATTAGCTGCTATTGAACTGCTGAAGTGCAGCTAGACTCATAGTGCTGTAAATTTGGAATTTCAATATTAAGGAGATCCAGTGGTACTAATGGTAAAGGATACTGGGAATTGTACTCAATATTGAGAGACTCATGAGTTCCATATTAAAACATGTACAATTCTATATTACAAAATGTAGATGAGTTTACACTGGTTTCTACTAGAAGCTAACTTAAAACATTTCAGTGGTTGATTTAGCTTGGGCCATTTGTTTTTATTTGAACAACAAAAAGTATTGAGGTCAAGTATCTAGGTCTCCAATTGGGAAAATATTCTATTGTTCACTGAACAAAAATATCTGTACTATTTAAATAGAAAGAATTGATTTGCTTAAACTCAGAGTTTAGTGTTGCCTTGTATATGAGAACTCATATCACCATATTAATTTAATGAATTATGCAATTAATCACACTCAGAAATCTAGGATGGTCAGATTAAAAAAAGAACAGGATATTTGCAACTTCTAATAGTTTTGCAGAAGAGGGATTTTTAGAAGGTGTAATTTTCATTTACATTTATGTAATTTTCACATTGCCTTCTGAAATTCCCTCTTTTAACACACTATTAAAGGTACAGGAGTCCATGTTTATATCTTGCTACACAATACCTCTCCTGATTAATATGGAACATATTGCCAACTTTATCTCCAAATATATTTTTCTATTTTGACCTGGATATATGTTCCTTCTTTTTAAAGTGAGAAGTCTTCAATCTATCCATTTTTATTTCACTATAAACCTGCGATTCACCAAATATAATGTATTAAAAATTATATGTAAATTAAAGAATTCTTAGTTGGGGGTATGTTAAACAATTATGGGTAAAAATATAAGGTATTTAACTGGATCTTGATTAACATGATCTGTCTCCTAATACAGCTCCTTATCTGCTTTCCTCCAAAAAGCAACAATAGGCCAAATAGGTTGTAAAAAAAATGCTTTTAAAAGTAAAAAAAAAAAAAAAGAAGGCTCTGATGATCAGGCAGCTCAGCTGGGATCGTCAGAACCTTTTTTTAACCTTTTAAAAACATTTTTTTAAAAGAAACGGCAAGTGGGCAACCGGGTGATTGGGTAGGCATGGGGGGGGGCAGAGATTTTTGCTACCGGTTCTCCAAATCACCCACCGCGATCTGGTCTGAACTGGGAGCATTTCACCCCTGCAAAAGTCTAACAGTATTCTGCCAACAAAGAATTCAAGACCAATATTGTGTTCTAATTTTCAAAGGCCAGGAAAAGGGTCAGCTCTAAAAAAAGCTCTATGAGTTTGGGTTATAATAACTGTGCCCTATTTATTAGCATATTTGTGAATCTGGACTGTAAACAGCTGGCAACTACAGAACAAAAAGAAATTTTGTCTGCATATTCATATTATGGTATCTGAAAGTTCTAAAGAACTGGTAACATTAATATGTTACGTGCTGTTTGTGTAACAATAAAAAAACTTTGAGACATTTGTGCTATTGCTATTGTATATAGTACATTACATGAAAGTTTAGTGCAACTAAACAAGAAGAACTAAAGACCATCTGGACATAGAGATTAACAAAGACTGCACTAAATGTGTATTTCAAATAAGAAAAAGGAAATGAAGTAAACAAAAAAAAGAGCAGCAAAATGAATCTGATTCTCTCTCTACTCCAAACAAACTTGCCTAAAGAAATTCTAGTGGAAAATTGAGGCACAAACAACAGAGCAGCTCAAGTACTAGGTATCATTTGCACATGTGATAAAGACTCTTCACTACCTATGTCATATCAGAGACTTGCCTTCCTTAATTTTCCCACATACTGTAGACACATACAAAAACTATGACAATATTTGAAACAGCAAAGCCAGAAAGTAAATTGAATCTTTAAATCACCTTCAGATCTCTCCAAAGAGATTTAAAGACACCCAATCCTATTTGACATCTTAAAATGCCTCAGAGATGCAGTTCAAAGATTTACTTAAAAGGGGTGATTTTTGATTGAATCTGCTTTGAATTAAATTGCCTCTTCCAGCCTTTGCAGTCCTAATACTTTACATATTACTCACTGTAGATTTCAATTTCAATTCCTTGAAAATGCAAAAGAAACTGACTCATGCATCACTTATTGCAATAGTCACTCCTAATATACTATTTTTATAGTAGAAAGTTGCAATTAGTATTGTCAGCTGAAACTAACAGCTAAGTAAATTGGCACTAGATTTTTGCAACATTTTAACTAATATTGCATACTTATAATAAAGAAAGCTAGTATAGCACAGATCATCTTTATATTATGTGGTGTCCTTGAGATGGTTTGGCCTATTACCTCCAAAATTTTCAGGCAATATGTTCAATCTTCATTTACTGTGAATTCTGGGAGTTTTTGTTTAATATGTCTGAAATGCATCACATTGGGAAATGCTGATATAAAAATAGGATGCTTCCTCCAGATCAAGCAGACTAAAATGAAGTTTCATACCTGGATCAAGCTTATTAAACTTAAATATCTGTCCAGCCATAAATAGGATGAGTCTGAGAATTGGTGCTATCCGAATACCTCAAGAATTTCTTGGGAGCAGGGGGCAGTGTCATTATTTGGAGTTGTTGGAGAAAGGGGATTCATCCACATCAACAATAACAATATGTAATTAGCTTTCAAGAGCTCCAATCTAATTGGCCAGACACATAATAATGTCAACTGAAAGTATGTATATATATATGTGATCAATTGAATTTGTCAAAAATAATCTAAACAAAGTCACAAACAGCTCAGATGAGATGCTAGAATTTGAATTGAGATTAAGCTAATAAGCAAAGTTCCACATTTTGAAATTGTTATCTGGGTCATTTCCACATTTAAAAAATCTAAAGTAAAAGAAATCAGTTACATGGCGGGTGCTAAGGAAAATGTTGCATTGGCATCCACAGACACTTGCTATATGTCCATGATATTCATTACTGGGAATATCATGGTAGAAAGAAAATAGGATTTAAATAGTTATTTTCTGAATTTTAGTGGTTATGGTAGATTAGGAATGTGAAGACTTGAGTTCTGTCCTACCTTAGGCACAATAGCCAGCTAGATGATTTTGGGCCTGTCACTCTGTCTCAGCCAATGGCAAGCCACTTCTGAAAATGTTGTCTACAAAACTGCATGGACTTGCCTCTGTGATCACCAGGAGTTTCACCCTAACCCTAACTAAAACAAAAAAAGGAAAAATATTTTTGAAATGGCTGGTTTACTAGTTAGAATCTAAATGTATTTATTTATTTATTGCACATTTTTTAAAAAATTGCCCAACTTGAAAAGACTCCTGAAAGTTTCCGAAGAATAAAAGAAAAAGTTCCAATATATTGAATATACATGTCCCCATGCAGACAAGATGGTCCTAACTGCCTTACAGAACGCTAATAGGAAAGGAGCAAGATGTACCTATGGGGGGTGGGGGGTAAGATTGCCCTAAAGTTTAGATATCATTCCAGAGGAGGACCCATGTCGCCGGGAATAATTACAGGGATAGTATCGGAGCATTCCTTTCCTATATGTATATACAGATCCTGAATTACCCTGAAGCCAAACCCCTTTGGGCTTTATAGGTGCAAAGCCTATATGAATTAGACTTAGAAGCCTATTGGCAACCGGTGCAATGATTGGGGAATAGGTGCTATGCTGATCCAGTGCCTTTTGGATTCCAATTTGGATTCCACATTCCAATCATATCAACCATTGCTTCTGAATATTGACTTTCTTTGATCTTCCTGGAGAATAATGTGTATAATTAAATAGGAATTTCATTAATGGCCTGTTTAAAGAGGTGGCATGAAGAAAGATATATTCATGCTCTTTTTTTAAAAAAAATCCGTGAGTTGCCTGTATTTGCTGAATTACTGTTTGTTTTCAAGAGTTTTAAATAAAGTATCTAATGGTTAACATCCAATCTATCACCCAAATAATAACCACAATCTTGATTTTCAACTGATTTACTCTGGAAATCAATATCATTGAGTTAAATTCAAAATATATCAGTTTAAGAATCAAGAAATTAGTGTCACATAACAGCCTCTAAATATGTGATCTCTTGTAATAAAATCCTTTCTGCCTTCTATTACTAATTACTAAAACACATCCTGGAGGAAAAAGATCAATAGCCAATGTTAAACACTTATTAAATATTCGCAAACACCTTTTTAAACCATGGGAGAATTTCTGGAGAACTTAATTGTTAGCAATCATGCACCAGTGCTTGAGTTTTTGTGAAACTACACATTGCTCATTTAGCAAATATTCCAGTATCAGGCAAGAAATAATTGGAATTACAGTTAGTGCTTATGACTACAATTGGGACCGAAGAATTCAACATTAAGCAATTTTTAAGTGAGGCATCATGTGGCCAAACCCAATTTTACAACTAAGGAAGAAAGCCTCATATGGCCAGCAGCTGCCTCACACAAAGGACCAGGTGGGCATATTTGACTAGCAGCAAGAAAAGGAAGACAGCAAAGGTCAGCTAGTGTGGCAGATTCCACGGAGCACAGGGGGCCAAAAAGGTATAGCTGGGGTAGAGACAGGCAGGTGGGGGGAATTGAAGACCCTACTGGCAGGCTGCCAAGTGCCCAAATTTTGATCACATGACTTGACAGTGCTGCAATGGCCATAACTTTGGGTCTGGACATATGCGCCTTGTTCAACAGTTCAGCTGTGACTTCAAATAGCCTCTGATTGAATGGCCATAAGTTGAGTACCACTGGTACTTCATCCCATAGCGATAGATGGTCTTCTCCAGCAGTTTAGATGCTAAACAAGAGTGGGCAGAGCACCAAACTCTGTGGCACTTCACTTAGTAGGGACTGGATCTCTTAAACTTGATCAGCCCCTTAGAAAGAAAAGTAACCAAGCCAATACTGTGCCAATTGTTCCCAACCCTCAGAGTTGATCCAGAATGATACCATTGTCAATGGAACAGAAAGTCTACTGCAACATGTTCTATATGGACCTGCCCCTGAAGAATATTCAAAAACTTCAAATGGCTCAGAATGCAGCTCTGTGGCTAGTAAATGGTGCCAGATATACGGTGCCATTACTGTGTGAGCTGCATTGGTTACCGGTATATTTCTGGGTGCAATTCTGGGTGTTGGTTGGTAAAGGGAAACTGACTTGATAACAAAATCATAAAATATGTATGGTTTAAGGCAATAAGAAACAGACTGGAGCCTTCAATGTTCTGTGTTGATTCAGGACTGCTGTGTAGAAAAGCAAATGAAGAATGATGTGCTTTCTTTTTTTTTTTTAATTTTTAGAAGTGGTTGGGGAAATTATGGAAATTGCCTTCCAACAAATTTGGGAAATGCTAGATCAAAAAGATAATTTATAGAACAATAGCATATAAGCAGGGGAAAAAAGGTAATGTAGGGAATAGAAAATGTTTATTTTTCTTTTTACTGTAGTTATATTTACATAGTCCTATCTATATATTTCAGTAATGTTGTTTAGAAACTATTGTAATGACTTCATTTTCTATTCTTGAATAGTGTCATCTAAGATTTTCAAGTGCCCTCTGGTGGAAAACACTTCATCTCAGTATTTCACTTGCTATTACTTTTAAATATTATCATTTACATTTACTGTCAGGATGTTCGTTTAAATAGCTTTTATGTTACTTCATAAAGCACAGTGCCAATTATTACACCAATAAATATAAGCTAATAAATGTAAATGCAACTGACTGAACTGTTAAATTTCTGTTGTAAATACTGAGAGAAGAAACACCTTGTTTTTTGTAATTTTTACACATAAAACTGACATGCCAATAACTGTAGGTTCACTATGTTTGAGGAGTTAACTCTTTGTATTAATTGTGTATTTAGCCACATCGTGCCATTCAAGGTGCTTCCTTGTGGAAATGGTGAAGTTGCCTAGTTTGGACAGAGAAAAAGATGATAAATATTTTTTTTAAAGACTGGAAACCTATATGAATCATTTGCAGAAAGGAAAAAATCCTGAACTGATGATTTATGGATTTGGGGACTAAAAAGGGTCAAAGATGGAAGGGAAAGTGTAAGATAGCAATTACTCAATAGAAAGAAGGTCTGAAGTCGTAATTATATTTTTTCCTTTTTTTTTCTTTTACTCTTTTATACTTGTATTGAAAAGTAGTGAGTTGCCTGTCTGTGCTCAGTTCTTGGTACTCGTGTCAAGGTACAGAGCATTCTATTCAATTGTCTATTTTAGGACAAACTAAAAAAATATATTCAGTTGATCACTTTAGCATGGCTTCAAAACTACACAGTAATCAATTCTTCTTAAAACAAGCATAATGGCTAGATATACAGTATACATTGCACTGCCTCAGAGTAGCTATTTTGTTATGGCTTTCTATATTGTGTGAACCCAGCATTGCACTGGTTTATGGCGACCCAATTAGTTGTGGCTTGAAAGTAATAGACAAACAAATCATAGCTTAGTGTGATGTATGAACCAGGGGTGAAATCTACTTACCTTCCTTACCGGTGTTACCGAAAGCAACACAGCCAGCTGATAGTTCAAACTCCCCTTTATTGCTCCAATTTCCCCCCAAATACTCCCATGTTTATGGCAAGTCCCAGAGCAAAGTGCTCACACACAGCAGCCTCTGGCTGTGAGCAAAATGCTGTTAGCACAATGGCTTCAAAGCAAGAAGTCCAGAAGGCAAAGGAACAAAGTAATGAGTCCACGAAGCAAGGAACAAGACAATGAGTCCAGAGTGAGAAACCAAAACAATGAGTCCATGAAGCAAGGAACAAGGCAAGAAGTCCTGCAAACTCCAGACATCAGCAATGGCACACAAAACTCCACAAATTCAGCATTTGTTCCCGACTAACACCCCTCCCCACAGTGTCTCTTTAAGTCCCAGTCCCCAGGGGTGCCTTGTGAAGAGGGGTGGGGCACTCTCCACCCCTCTCTCAAGTCGTCAGGTCAGCCTGCGCTGTTCTCACCTCCTCTCCACTCTCTGTGCTTAGGGATCATGAGGGGGTGGTCCTTGCTCATCACCTGAGCTCCGTTGTTCCTTATCTCCACTGACTGCCCTCTCTTCCCCTCTCACTGGGTTGACCTGCCCTCATTTCTCCCTGCTGGCAAGCTGTGTCAAACCTGAGGAACCCGGGGCTGCCTCCTCAACCTTCATCGACCCCAGCTCCAGCTCATCTCCTCCACAGACTCAGGCTCCGTCGGGACCATGACAAGATATGTATGCATACATAGCCACCATGGCTTCCGTGGCTAACTGTAGACTGTCTAGCTTTTATAAGGCTACAAATATCAACATAGTGCATCACAGGAAGCAAAACAGGGGAAGTTTGCTTGGAACACTGGTTTGGAAGATCATTCTTTGATCTATTTAATGTTGAATGATGTACCTTTTATATTCTGTATAAATGAGTCCCATATTTCATTATGCTTGTCCATACAGAGTCTACATTTATAGGCAATCTGCTCAAAAGTGACAAGCGCAATAGGTCTTCACTGAGTAAAAGGGGACATACATTTACCTTTCCCATGCTGCAATATCAATCTTTTGATCACAGTGAAGGCATAGATAATCCATTTATGTTGTTCAGTTGTCAAATTACACGTACTAGGCATGTAATTCAAGAGAACATTAGCCTCTGAAAATACTAGCTTTTGACATACAGTCATATTTATGTAATCCACTAATTTCTTTCAAAATGTAGGAGGTATTTTAAAGAAACACTATCCTTAGTACATGTCCAACAAAATACTATTTTTGACAGTCCTTTTCTATACAAATAATTGAATCCAATAAATTCTAAATATTATTTTTGTTGCATAATTGTAGTTTGAGGTCCACTGACCCTCTTGCTATAAAAGTTAAGACACTTCCCTATTATCTAGGCAATATACAAACTAATTCTTTATTCTGTTGATTTCTTAGCATATGCATATCAAATGGATTTATTGATAACAAATATTTATACATCTAATTGTTGGTATTTTAGTTCTAAAAGATTTAACAAGTTGTTCTCAGAAACTGAATATGTTGCTGGTCCAAAGAAATTTACCTGCAAACATTGCCACTGGGTTTCAGCTGATAGATCCTATCTATTTCTTTGCACAGCATATGTTAAAAATTCATCATCATCCTCTATCAATTGGTCCAAAGTCATATTTCTATTTCCATCCAATTTTTTCATATCATCATCTTT